TTCGTATCATTGACCAGCTCCTCCCTTGTAGTTCTGGGCTGATTCCTCACCTTTCTTATCATCAGTGATACCCCACGAGGTGAAATCTTGCATGGAGCCCCAGTCCGAGGGACACTGACAGTCGTCTTTAGCCTCTTCCATTTTCTAACAATTGCTCCAACAGTTGATCTATTTTCACCAAGTTGCTTGGCAATTGCCCCGTAGCCCTTTCCAGCCCTGTGGAGGTCCACAATTTTGTCTCTGGTGTCTTTTGACAGCTTTGGTCTTGCCCATGGTAGTAGTTGGCATCTGACTGACTGTGGGGTGGACAAGTGTCTTTAAAGAGCTCAGACAGGTGCTACTAAGTTAGAATAATGAGTGGAGTAGAAGTGGATTTTTTAAAGGCACAGTAACAGGTCTTTGAGAGCCAGAATTCTTGCTGTTTCTCAGGTGTTCAAATACCTATGTTCAGCAGTGCAAGACAAATAAATTCTTTAAAAATCATACAATGTGATTTCCTGAATTTTTTTTTTTAATTCTGTCTCTCAGAGTGGAAATGCACCTACAATGTGAATTTCAGACCCCTCCATGATTTCTAAGTGGGAGAACTTGCAAAATCGCAGGGTGTTCAAATACTTCTGTTCCTCACTGTATGTTCTTATCACATCTGTGCCAGTACCTAAAAAATTTAAAAATATTGCAACCATCCTAATATTTCTATTCTCATTTTAGCATAGTAGTTCTTGCCACATGACCAAGGTTGTACATTAGCCAGTGTATAAACTATACCTCAAAGCCAATATTGAGTGTTGCTATGTTCCACTAGGTAACTACTGGTCACCTATCATTTTTATCATTTACACTACCGTACCTGTGTATGCATGTTGAAGATATTTCATAAACCTTGTTACAAGCCGAGAGCAACTAATTCAGCTTCAGTTGATGACAAACTTTCAAACATAAAGTGCCAGGTATAGCTTTCCATAGGAAGCAGTTGGTGTTCGCAGGTATGCACTGATACTTGCGTACACCTGCACTTGCATCCAGGGTTTTAGGTCTGTATGCGACAGTCCATGTCTGGGGTGGTATATTTTTTAGATTTATCACATACACAACTTGTCAAGTAGAGAAAAAGCAAACAAAAAATACAAGCAAAGTTCAAAGCATAGTTTCATACCATGTAAACAAAAAAAAAAAAAGCCTGAAATGCATTTGCATGTTTACATCAATTACCAGCATATACCTGGGTACAGCTGCTCCTGTTTATGGGTGGTTGTGTCATATGGCCCCAAGCAGCCATGTGAATGAGGCCACAGATCTGACAGCAGTGCTGTTTTGTGGAAGGATTGAGCATTAAAAACATTAGTCATAAATGCCGAGTGATATGTGGGAAGGGATGAAAGACTTGTACGCTTTGCCTATTTTGTTCTATGAGGGCATACTATGTGCTGCTTGTCATCTTGAAGTCAGAACAAAATTTGTGTATCTTTTTAATTTTGTTTCATTCACTAGTTGATTTTAAAATATCATACATCTATAATGCATGTTACGTTTGGTTTACTTTGTAACACATAGCTTGTAACAAGAACCAGTGCACGTTTTCCAAATAAAAAAAGACCACAATATTAAGATTATTACAAAGTATTTACTCTCATGTGTTCTAGTCAGTTTTCATTGAACTTTTTTTCCCTATGAGATGCATCCTTTTTTTTTTTTTTTTTTTTTTCCTTTCAAAACGTGATCAGCTGTCATGCCTAGAGAGGGTATGTTACATACATTTTATAAAACCAGTTAAACATTTTATGTCAGGGACTATCAGCACTTTGTGTCACTAAACCCACAATAGTAATAGCAGTCTGTATATGCAGTAAAGCATGCTTGTTATGCTCACTGTGGAACCTAAGAGGTTAATCCTCTGCATTGTGTAAAAAGGCTGTTTGATCCTGTCTTCTGTGATCTTCCCCTTCTTTTGCTGTCCCCTATCCATCTGATGATGGTACAGAGCCCTAGGAGGTACTCTGCACATGCTCAGTTTGTTGTGTATTGCTAGAGATTTTTTTTTTTTTTTTTTTTTTTGGGAGGGTACATGTGATTGGCACAGTGCCAATCGGCACTGTCCAGACAGAGGATCAGGAGTCGTGCAGCCTCATAAGCCAGTCAGAGGAGAATGAAAACTTTAACCATTGCTTGACTGGGCACTGATAGAAGTCACAAGACTGCTATATACTGCTGATGAGAAAAGGTATTTAGCAGTTTATATTTACTAAAATAATTGCATTTCCATGTTCTGTGTACTGTGGTTGATCAGATATAGTGAATGCAGGGTCCTGGGTTTAGTAACGCACTAAAGCGAATTTCCACCCTCCCCCAACCCCCGCCATTTTTAAAAAAATCTCTACTGGTGGTGTGTTATGCACATTTCAGATACTCACCCACCCATTGGATCCAGCATTGTTCAACTGAGATCCTCTTTTCTTCTGGCAGTGCTCTGTCCCGTGACGCCATATTTTGCTGCCTATTGATGCACACAGTGTAGGGAGACAAAACTCTAGTCCCTGCATGCAAGGGTGGCTTTATAGGAGCCTGCAAGAGAAAGTGCGACCCTGTAACCGAACACCTGAGACAGCAGTCATTCACCATCTTAAACTAGAACATAGGCTAGGAATAATAGATGAAGAAGCTGCATACTCCATAAGCGATTAAATTGGCTGCTGAAAGTGCTTAAAACTGAGTTTTTACTATCACTTTTAGGCTACATTCACAGTGGTAATTAGAGCCAGCGCTAATTGTAGTGACAGGAATCTTCTGATTACCCAATGACAAGTTGCTGGTGGCCGCACCTGTTCAACGCTCTATGCACAGCCAGTGATTACCTGTGGTGATTGCTAATGGATGCACACAAAGTGTTTCTAGCAACGATCACCACAGCTAATCGATGGCTGTGTGGACAGCAGCGAATAGCTGAGGCCACTGCCGACCTGTCATTATTGTGAATGGGGTCGGTGGCTGCAACTATATGCTGAGAGCAGCATCGTCCCTACTATTCACACTGGCTCGAATCGCCAGTGAGAATCTAGCCTAAAGAAGTTCTTGACCCTGTGAACAAAATATTAAAAAGTCAGCAGCTACAAACACTGTAGCTGCTGACTTAAAAAAAAAAAACAAAACCCTTATCTGTCAAGGGATCCAATGCTGTCCTCACCCAACCCAGCTCTTTGCCAGTCTTTGGGTCCCGGCATCTTAACTGTGGTCAACCTCCTTGTGGCTTCACAGCTGGCTGCCCGCTGCGCCACATAAATGGTCATGCAGTCTCCTAGCACCTGTGACATTCCCAGGAGGCTGTGGGGAGAGGACTTCTGCTCAGATAGACCCTTGGCGGTCAGAATGGAAGTGTAAACAGGTACCTGTCAAAATTGGGGGCACACCCCTACCTCCTCAAATAACACATTCCAAATATGGGGAGGAGGAAAAGTGGGAATTCCCCTTTTGGGAATAATCAGTGCACTGCATTTTGGAAAAGTCTTTGTATGAATGGGTTCTCTTTTTGATAGGGGCACTTCAGGCTATAAAAACTACAAGTTACATGATCTATAAAACAACAAAAATGCTGATTACAAGCTTTTTACTGGAGTGCTAGGAATGCATTAATTTGCCTGTTTTAGATATGGAGCTAGTTGTTGTAAATTACATTTGATTACAGTCCTATTCAGACGCTGACCTCCAGTTCACTTCCTTTTTATGCCTTTTGTCCTTACTCCAGTCTCTGTTCCGGTCATTGTTTTTTATGAATGAATTTTAGTAATACTTTGCATTGAGTGAACAGTTTACTCTTGTAGCTGTGGAATCGTGATCGAGACCGAACAGTTTTTCTATACCTACATTTCCTGTCCTTTTTTTTTTTTTTTTAGGGGGAAGTGAAGGCAGTGTGTACATTGGAAAGGCTCATGTCCCTATCTTCTTTTCTAGCTGAGTTTCCATTCAGTATTAAGGGGCTTTTCTTACAGATAGGGTAGGCTGTTTCTACCAATCAAATTGTGCCCAGCAATCTGTCTCTGCCTGCATGCCTATGATACAGGAAGCACACAGAAAAGCTGGAACATCCTGTTATTCATTTTGTTGCTGGATGGGATTTGACGAACACCATCTCTTAAGCGAAAATCCACCATGAAGGTTTAGTTGCATTTGTGTTTGATTTTTTTTCTTCAATATCTCTGGTTTATAATTCTTTGTATTCTTCAGCCTTCATGTTACAGTAGTGAAATAAGTGTAGTGAATTCAGCCTATAAAGAGCTGTGGTGTTGCCATCTACCAGTCTATAAATGTTCAGACTTGAAATCTAGTTGGTTTCTGCATGAAATAGCAATTTTTCTAGAATATCCTAATAGTGTGTTAAATAAAATTTCAGAATATATTAAAATATGAACTGTTGGTGGTGTTAGTCATGGACAGGTTTTTTTTTTTTTTTTTAAACCTCTTCTTTTTTTTTTTTTTTTTTTTTTTTAAGAGTATAACCAGTTTGTTCTTTCTTTTTAGATATATAGGTGTTCATATATAGTCGGTATTGTTGCAAAGTTCTTTATGTTTAAAATATAAAGTGCATGTTCACTGAGTGATTCATCCATTTATTGCTAGCTCCTAGTACTATTTTATTTTAATAATAATATGTTTAGTTTCAAGAGTAAGCATAATAAAAGAATAAAGCTGTGGAAGACAATACAGTATCTTAAGAAACAATGTAGTAGTACAAGGTCTGCAAAGTGCAGTTTTACATTGTCTTACAGATCAAAAGATACTCTCAAAGGTACAGATTTATTTCTGATCCAGACAACCCAAGGTCCCAGCCATTTAAGCTCCTAGTACTCTTGATTATTAAAAATGTTGATGTCTGATAATGTTTTAAGATGAAACATTTCTATCCTGAATTTGAGACAAGCTTGTTTAATAATTGCTAAAAGGAACTACCGGTAAATATTTTTGGAGACGTGGTGCTGAATAGATGACCAATGTATTTTGTATTTCAGACATTTGAAGCCAATGACCTGTATCAAGGACAAAACTTTAACAAGGTGCTGAATTCCCTTGTTCTTCTAAATAAAGTCACAGCAGGTATGTACAGTCTGTCAAGAACTGGCTTATTATAGTTGGTTATGTGTGTCATGTGTGAAGAAATCTTAGTGACTACTGCATAATACTGAGAACAAGATTTTTTGCCTTTGCATATTATTAAGGGGTTTCTATCTTTTGTCATACAGATTGCAGACATAAGCCAAACATTGACATTCACAGCATAAATTATACACTTTCAGGTACATTCCTGATGTTAATGATTGGACAATGATTCTAAGAATGTCACATGTAGAGAAGGGGTTTTTGTCATTTTATACTTTATTCTGTTAAATTAGATATGTTTGGGATGCCTATCTTCTACTTATTTGCTGCTTGATCTGCTTTTCTGATTTCAATGACTTTAATGGGGAGAAAAGCTGTTCTCACATGAATAAAATGCTATGTACACAAGCCCTAAGTACCTGCTGTGAATTACATTCTGTTATACATTTTATGGAGTGATAGTGGATGCCTTATTGTAAAGCTGTGGACAAATTTGTTGGTATCTTTTTACAGCTCATTTCAAACAATGCTTCATTCCTCCTGAAAAGCAAATGTCCCTTGTATACCTCTATGCATTTGATATGTCATAGAATAAAGCAGTTTGTAAAGAGAGAAATTATTGCTTTTTCTACAAACATATCAAATATCCACTTGAAGACCAAGCCTTTTCTGACACTTTTTGATTACATGTAAAAATCTTTTTTTTTTCTTTGCTAGAAAATTACTTAGAACTTTCTAATGTTGTATCTATTGTTTAAAGCAGAGGCCCTAGAGAGTAATATGGTGGGTGCTGCATTTTTATTTATGTCACACAGTATTTGTGCAGCGGTTTTTTAACTTTTTTTTTTATACAATTTTTTTAAAATTTTAATGCACAAAAACACAATATAACGCACAGTTGTTTGGTACAATTTAGAAGATGATGTTACGCCAAATAAATAGATCCCAAAAGTGTCATGCTTAAAATTGCGCATGCCCACACAATGGTGACAATGATGTAAATTTCATTATCCGTAGGCAATGTTTTAAATGCCTTTTTACAGGTTACCACTTTAGATTTAGACAGGAGTCCTGATGCTAGAATTACTGCCCTCAATCTGATGGTGATACCTCACATGTGTGCGACAATCGCTGCTTGCACTCATGCGTGACCGACACATGCATTCGCCTTTTGCACGCTATTCTCGTACGGGGGGGAATGAGAGTGCTTTTTTTTTTTTTTTTTTTTTTACGCTATTGCTTTAAATCTGTTTTTGTTATCACAGGGAATATAAATATCACCTGTGATAGCAATAGGCAATGACAGGTCCTCTTCATGGACAGATCTGAGTTCTATTAGATCCCAAAACTCTCTGCTCTTAAAAGCATCTAATCAAACCAAGATCAGTGTAATCAGATGCTTTACCATTTAAAATGGTGTTGTTTGCTTCCGGGAAAACTGGAAGTGATGAATGCTCATTGCTTCCGGTTACCTGTATCATAGAGGCAATCAGAGCCATTCCGGCCTGTGTTTGCATCTGTGACCAACCGGCTGATCGCTCAGGTCTCTCGGTAGGTTGGGAGGGGGGGGGGAACTGATTCTTCTGTGAAAGATGATGGAGCCTTGGCTATGTTTTGGTGCTGTTCTGATGCAAACGGTACAGGTGTCTTGAATCTGTGCAGGTCACAATGAAATCTATACATTTATCAGGAAATTCTGGAAACGTACCACTCGGTGTTCTGTCCCTTCCGAAGGTTATGGCTTCACCATCGACCCAAAACACACAGCTAAAAGCAACCAAGAATGGTTAAGAACAAAGCATTGGATTATTCTGATATGGCCTTCTATAAACCCAGATTTGAATCGTATTGCGCATCTATGAAAGATACAGTCCGGAGACGACACCCTTTACAGCTTAGACAGTTGGAGCAGTTGACTCAAAAAGAGTGGGCCAAACTACTTGTTGGAAGGTATCGCTGAGAGCTAACTGACATTGCTTGTTTGCAATTATTCGTTAATCGTGTAACAAAATTTTAGATTCAGTCCCATCATGTTTTACCTTTGCCATTTTCATTTATTTTAGAATTTAAAATATTTTATTAAATGAAAAATCTAAAGCAAAGTTTTTTTTAGTTAAATATGGAATAAACAAGACATTTTTATGAAAACTGTGGAATCTTTATTTGTGAATGTATACCAACAAATTCATCCAAGGCTGTATATAAACTGCAGGAAAAAAGATATGTTGTCATAAAACCTGATTTTTTTTTTTTTTTTTTCTTACACTAGAAAAATGCTAGAATATGCTTTGTTGCAATTTGCACAGTATAACTACCCTTGTGATCTACACACTCCTGCCACACTGTACTGTCAAGCAAGTGACAAAATTTAGTCTTTGCATCTTTCTGCTGAATCTACAGTCACCTTATTGGGCAATTTATGAGAATTGTCACTCTTCCTAATCACTGGTGAAGGAGCAGGCAGGTTACACAGGAAGCAGCTGATGCAGAAAATAGGCATCTGGCTTGTTTATAAAGTCTAGAAGAAGTGTGTGGGTAGCAAGAGTGGCTCAGATTGTTAACTTAGAAGTACAGAAACTAACTGCTTTTAAGTGATTTGGACTGTTTAAGGAATGGCTATTTCTATCATTAGTCTGTAGTAAATCCTAGTAATTTATGAACCCAAGTGTGTGCTGTATCCTTAAGTCATTCTGAATGTGAACCACATTGTGTGTGTTTAGAGTTTTCGTATGAGCATGGGATATGTCTGCAAATATAATGCATTACAAACATGTCCCACAAGCCTGGCTGCGTGCCTGCTTTTATGAACAATTTTTTTTAAACTTTTTATTTTAAATAGAATGTTTGTAATGGGGCTGGCTTGCATTTTTTTTCTTCTCTACATTTTAAATGCCCATGGCTCCTGAATTGTCCTATAGCTGCTTCCTTTTGAGGCAGAATTTTTAACCAGCAGTAATGAACAATGAGTATGCAAGTCAGGGCAGTGGTGGAAAACGGACATCCTGTTCATCACCAACTTAAGACATAATTGGCCATATCTGACTTTTTACGCACTTCCATTTAACCCTTCCTTTTCTATACTGGCTTCTTAACTACTTCCAGTCCGGACACTTTTACCCCCTTCCTGTCCAGGCCAATTTTCAGCTTTCAGTGCTATCACACTTTGACAGTTGCGTGGTCATGCAACACTGTACCCATATGAATTTTTTAGCATTCTTTTGAGACAGATAAAGCTTTATTTTGGTGGTATTCACCACTGGGATTTTTATTTTTTTTGCTATGTAAATGAAAAAGTCCCAAAATTCTGAAAATTTTTTTCCTATACATTTTTGCAAACAAATAGTATTTCATGATAAATCTTGGCCAAAATTTATTCTGTTTTTTATCTTTTTAGTAAAAAAAATAACTCAAATTAGTTTATAACCAAAATTTATAACTTTTAAACATTTTTTTTTTTTACATTTTTTTTTTTTTTAATATTTTTTTTTTTTGTTTTTTTTTTTTACATACTGGCACCCTACTTGTGGGGGGTGATGAAGATTTTTTTTTTTTTTTTTTACACTGATTGCTTGTACACCTATAAAGGCTGTAAAATCAATCATTCCTCCTTCTCTCTAGCTGCATTCTTGCAGCCATTGAGAACTACTGAGTGAGCTGTGATTGGTCACAGCTTGTCACATGGTACAAGGCTGTTGTGAATAGCCTTGTACCATGTGACCTCTGTGATCATTCACAGATTTCACAGGTAGTAAGCAATGATGTCACAAGTGACATCTTGCTTACTATTCTGCATGTTATCACTGATTGGCCAGTCAGCGACCACATGATCAGGACCTCGCAGAGAGGTCCCGTCTGACGATCAGTGTTCCGCTGTGGTCCCACAGCGTGCACCGGATCGCGGTGCTGCACGCTCCCGGGGAGCACGCACAAGCAGGGTGCGGGGAGGCCATTTATAAACAGCCACCCGACCCTGCACTGCCACCGTCCAGCCGTTTATATACAATGGCCGGATGGGAGGTGGTTAATTGTTTCACATTTAAAGTATGTTTATAGCAAGGGCTGCAACTAACGATTATTTTCATAATCGATTAGTTGACCAATTTATTGTTTTGATCGATTAATTGGATAAAAACCTCAAAGTGTGATTGTATAATTTAGTTAATATGTAAAGTTTAAAAAAAAAAGACAAATTTATTCTTGAATATCTATATGCAGTGGTAAAGATAAATAATCAGTCATATGGTTAGGAAACAAAATATCTAATCCACTCTGAGAATAACAGACAGAAGAGATGTACTGTGTATACTATTAGAGGCTGAATCATCAGATTCAAAGATCAAAATTTTTATTTAAAGGAAAAAAAATAATTTTAAAGACCCAAAATTGTTGTTTTGCAGATTTTCAGACAGGACTGTAATATGTTATGCAAGACAGGCTCCTTTGTCATAGGAAGGTAGCTTGATACAAGCTACCTGCGTCTGCTATCACTTAGACTGGCCATACACAGAAAAAATGTAACTTATGTTTGATTTTCTAATCGTTATTGGGGTCAAACCGATGTTCGTTTTTGACCACAGTGATGGGAAAATTCCAAGGAACAGAATAGAAAACCTTTCCTGATCGAAAATATTTTCGCAGAGTGTATGTAATTTTTGTTCAGAAATTACATTCATTTTAAAATTGAATGTTAAAGACGAGTGTACTTTTCGGACGAAATTCGTTCATCAAATGTACAAAGAATTTTTGTATGAATATTCTCGTTCAAAAAAATCGATACATGTATGGCCAGCATAAAACCTTTAGTAGCAGCAGCATGCTTTTTGTATTACCTGTCATGATGGGGTTAAAAAAACAAAACAAAATTAGTCCTTTTTATAGTACAAAAACAGCAGATAATCACTACTATTTTACTTGGGAGTCAGAAATATAAATCTTCTGTATGAAAGTAGTACTAAAGGCTGAGACTTTTTTCATGGATCTAATCATTATAAATATAATGCACAATACTAGTTAACTTTTGCCTTAAATGTAATTGTAATGCCTTGTATTACCTCCAGTCTATCAGCCTCCAGCTTTCCTGCATTCAGAAGCTGATCTTCCCTGCTCAGAGCCCTTAAAGTGTTTGTAAAAGTTGGATTTTTTTTTTTTTTTTTCAAACCAACTTACCTGCTCTGTATAATTGTTCTGCATAGAGCAGCCCTGATTCCTCTACTGGGGTTACCTGCCAGCGCTTCTGGCTCCTCCTGCCTTTAGAGTGCCCCTATAGCAAGCAGCAAAGTATAGCCTAGAGTGCCTTGATAGCAAGGTAAAACACTTCTTCCTTTAGAATCACTCACTTCCTTCTCCTACTCAGGACTACATGTCTGAGGCATTGCTCCCTATGCATTCACAAGTTCTCAGGCACTTACTGATATGTATGGACGGTGTATTGAGCTGTGTGCGCTGCACTGAGTATACTGACATGTATTGACGGTGTACTGAGCCGTATGTGTGCTGCGCCGTGTATGCTGACATGTAGAAGCTGTGCAGAGCTGTATTTGCTGATATGTTTTTTCCGCTTTCTTTGATCCATCTTAGAAAAATGCATTGCAGTTTTTGACCTGGAGGTACAACAACTTTGGCCATAGATAATTTAACCACTTGCCCTCCAGAGGATTTACCCCCCTCCCTGACCTGGCCATTTATTGCGATACAGTGCTGTGTTGCTTTAACTGACAATTGCACGGTCATGCAATGCTGCACCCAAATGAAATTTATGTCCTTTGTTTCCCACAAATGGAGCTTTCTTTCTGTGGTATTTCTTCGCCTCTGCGGTTTTTAATTTTTTGCGCTATAAACAGAAAAGACCTACAATTTTGAAAAAAAAAACCCAATATTTTTGACTTTTTGCTATAAAAAAAAGTAAAAAAATCTAATTTTGCCACAAATGTAGGCCAAATTGTATTCTGCTACATATCTTTGGTAAAAAAAAATCCCAATACGTGTAAATTAATTGGTTTATGTGAAAGTTATAGCGTTTACAAATGGTGGTGTGTATATATACTGGAATTTTTTTTTTTTTTTTTTTTTATACTAGCAAGCAATGGAGTCGATCAGCGACTTCTAGCAGGACTGCGGCAGGCATTCTGACACTGGGGGGGAACTGACTAACTGCCACTTACATCCCAATGACACTAATACAGAGATCAGTGCTAATAAAAAGCACTGACACTGTACTAATGACACTGGGCTGGAAGGGGTTAACATCTGGAGCGATCAAAGGGTTAACTGTGTGCTGTGTGTGTGTTACTGTGTGCTGTGTTTTTTTACTAGGGAGGCATGCTGTTTTGTATTGCAAAGCAGCATGCTGATGCTAATGGAGCGATCTGTATTGTTTATATACAGATCTCTCCCCCATCAGTGTTCTTTGGCAATCTCCGGATGCCATCGGTGAATCTCCGGCCGGGACTCGGTGATTGACAGCTGTACCCGCTAACGGTGGCGTGGGTAGGGGTGGGTGCGCGCCCCCTAACCGGAGATACAAAATCCCATGTATATATACGTGATTTTGCTCAGGCCTTCCGCCCTGTAGCAGTAGTTCTGCTGTAGGGCGGTCGGGAAGCAGTTAATAAAGTGAGCACTGTATACCATTACAGAAATATTTTAATATTTGTTTTTAATAGTGGTGAATAAGGCTTCATGTACATGAGCAGCTCCTTAACTTGAGTTTAGGAGCTTTTGGCCTTTTTTTTTTTTTTTTTTTTGCCAAATCTCCTAAACAGAGCTCCATAAACGATTGTGTCCATATACACATAGGCATTTAGAGTTTAGGTTAAACCTCCCTCTCCTGAATGCAGAAGAATCGCGTTTAGGATAGGAACGTTTTGACCGCCGACCACAGGAAAATGCGGCAAAAAGGAGGTACCGCATTTGCAGCGTTTTTGCCGCATTTGCGTTTTTCCGCTGTCCGTGGTCAGGGTAGGCTCCTGTGCATGAAGCCTAACTGTAATCTAATTCTTATAGATGGTAGCTCCCCAGTAGAGACTGTCTGTAAATCTGTTTTGGGATATTCTAAAAGTTGTTTGAATGTTCACTCACGTTGAAGATATTTCCTCTCACTTTCAGTTGTCCTACGGACAGGAAGTACGGGGAAGCTGCACTTTACATCAGTAACTCTAACATAAGATTCTTTTTTTTTCACCATCCAGAAAAGGGAAAATAGCTTTGACTTGGGTTCCACTTATTCTGTTAAAAGAAACTTGTGCTGACAAAAGTATGCAAGCTGCTATTGAGTACCTTTCTCTTAAAATTTTAATTGCCTGGCTATCCCTCTGTTTGTCTACAGGCTGCAGGACTTTGAGTCACTAAGCCACGAAAGTTAGGTGTCCCAATGGTATTAGCTGTACACTTCTTTTGGGTTGTGGCTAAGAAAATTTTAAAGGATAAGTTCACCTTTTTCATATTTTTACATAATTTATAATACTTTTTACGTATTCAGGATGTAACATGTTATCAGCAGACTAGCCTGCGATCCCAGTGGTGACATCTAGTGGGGGATCTTCTCCTCCCCGCTAGCTGTCACAATTTAAAAAAAACTGTGGCTGGCCTCGACATTCATACACTTGAATGAATGAACTGCAAATCCCGACCAGCCTCTGCAGCTGTCGACTTTTAGTTCTCAGGGAACTGCCACAGCGCTGTGGAGTGGGTGGTAGTCCATTTATTCTTCTTGTCAATATATTTGCTTACTCTTACATCCTGTACGGGCAAGCAGATGTACTAACAGGTCTGCAGGAGACCTGCATGGCACCAGCGATCTGCTGATTGCTGGTGCAATGCTTTAGAGGCTCCAGAAACAAAAAAATAATAAATGCACTTTTTTTTACCTGCAAAAAAAGTGCATTTATTCTTTTTTGTAAAGAGATGACCTTATCCTTTAAGGTTGAAGATTTGAGCATACACAGCAATTGTCAATATAGCAACATATAATTATCAACGGGTTTCTTTTTAAGGCTCGGTTCACACTGCCGGGTCTTGGAATCCGTGTTATGAGACCTCAAGTCCCATGACACGTGGAATCCCATGTAGTCAATGAGAGCTGTCTTAATTAGCACTACGGAAGTCGCCCTGACTTTAGAAAAGGTTCCTGTACTTCTTCAAGGCGACTTCTATCAGACTTGTGCCCATAGACTTTAATGGAAGTCTCCTCCAACTTGGATCCTCCTCTATATTGATGTGATTTGGATCTGACATTACTGGAAGATTACCCAGGCATTCCTTAAAAGTCAATAAAAACTCTCTTCAAAGTAGTTCTCAAGTCTCCTGCCAGAGTCGCAGTGTAAGGTCGCATTAGTGTGATCCAAGACTAAAGGAAAACTTTCATGAGGGAAATATATAAGCTGTAAAAGTTTCTCAACATGCTTATTCCCTAGCTGTAATGCTGCCCCTCCAGTTTCAAAAATTGACTTGGAAGTAGTATGTAGATTATGATTCTGACTTGCTGCTTAAGTGAATCCATGTATTACAACAAGAGGCATGGCATGAAAGTCGGTAATCATTTTTAGGAGAGTGTGTGCGTGTGTGTGTGTCATTAGTGTCATTTAACATTGGTTTATTTGGGTTGATATCTTTTTTCACTTTATCTTGCTTCTGTTTAACTTTTCTTCTACTTTGGGAAATGTAAGTTCTATAATGCTGAAGAGTTAAATTGTGTTTTGAGTTTGTAATGTAACTTTAAACGTATTGTGTGGTTTCCAGATATTGGCTTGGGAAGTGATTCTGTGTGTGCCCGCCCGTCTTCACATCGGATAAAGTCTTTTGATTCCCTTGGGTCACAGTCTGTTCTAAGCCGCTCATCGAAATTATTGCAGGGTCAATATCGAAGCCTGGTAAGTAATTGTATATATGCAGTAGGTGTATTAGTACTTTGCTATCCTCCAATTTCTATTTGAAAATATCAAATATTATTTTTTGTATCCAAACCAGGTCATACAAAACTTGCTGCAAGCACAGATTGTGCAAATGACCACAACCAAAACAAACACCACTCTGTTTTACTTAGTGTTACTAAAACCACAACAGTAAAATCAGTCTGTATATGCAGTAAAGCATGCTTTTTATACTCACTGTGGAACCTAAGGTGTTAATCCTCTGCGTTGTGTAAAACGGCTGTTTGATCCTGTCTTCTCTGATCCTCCCCTTCTTTTACTGTCCAGCTGCTGATAGTGCAGAGCTCTAGGAGTCACTCTGCACATGCTCAGTTTAGTGGTTTAGTGTGTATGGCTAGAGATTTTTTCTTTTCTTTGGGAGAGTGCATGTGATCAGCACAGGGCCAGTCAGTACTGTCCAGACAGAGGGTCAGGAGTTATGCAGCTTCATAGGACAGGCAGAGCGGAATGGAAACTCCCCCTCAAGATTAACATGTGCTCGGACACCGGTAGAAGTCACAAGACTGCTATATACAGTTGTGTTCAAAATAATAGCCGTCAGACATCACTAACCTGATCAATCACTGTTTTTGGTAGAAATGATATTTCTACATAGCAAATAATTTACTAGCAGGTGTAGTAGAGTAATAGAAATCCAACAGACCCAACAGTCATGACATGCAGGCTGCTGATTCTGCGTAATTGAATCACTAATTGAAAGGGGCATGTTCAAAATAATAGCAGTGTGGAGTTCTGTTAGTGAGGTCATTCATTCTTTGAAAAACAGGTGGCAATTATTGCCCTTATTTAAGGAAGGAAGGCAGCAAATGTTGTACATGCTGGTTACAGTGCATTTCTCTCTGAAATTCTGAGGAAAATGGGTCGTTCCAGACATTGTTCAGAAGAACAGCGTAACTTGATTAAAAAGTTGATTGGAGAGGGGAAAACCTATAAAGAAGTGCAGAAAATGATAGGCTGCTCAGCTAAAATGATTGCAAATGCTTTAAAATGGCAACTAAAACCTGAAAGACGTGGAAGAAAGTGAAAAACGACCATTCGAATGGATAGAAGAATAGCCAAAATGGCAAGGACTCAGCCAACAATCAGCTCCAGGAAGATCAAAGAAGGTCTAATGTTACCTGTGAGTACTGTTACAATTAGAAGACGCCTATGTGAAGCCAAGCTATCTGCAAGAAGCCCCCGCAAAGTCTCACTGTTAAAAAAAAAAAAAAAAAAAAAAGACATGTGCTGAAGAGGTTACAATTTGCCAAAGAGCACATTGACTGGCCTAAAGAGAAATGGTGCAACATTTTGTGGACTGATGAAAGTAAGATTGTTCTTTTTGGGTCTAGTGGCCGGAGACAGTTTGTCAGACGACCCCCAAACACTGAATTCAAGCCACAGTACACTGTGAAGACAGTGAAGCATGGTTGCACAAGCATCATGATATGGGGATGTTTCTCATACTACGATGTTGGGCCTATTTATCGCATACCAGGGATCATGGATCAGTTTGAATACATCAGAATACTTGAAGAGTTCATGCTGCCTTATGCTGAAGAGGAAATGCCCTTGAAATGGGTGTTCCAACAAGACAACGACCCCAAACACACCAGTAAACGTGCAACATCTTGGTTCCAGACCAACAAGACTGACGTTATGGAGTGGCCAGCCCAATCCCCGGATCTTAATCCAATAGAAAACTTGTGAGGTGACATCAGAAATGCAGATTCTGAGGCAAAACCAAGAAATGGAGAACTGTGGAATGTAGTCCAATCATCGTGGGCTGGAATACCTGTTCACAGGTGCCAGAAGTTGGTTGACTCCATGCAACACAGATGTACAGCAGTTCTCAGAAACAGTGCTTCTACAACTAAATATTAATTAAGTGATTCAAAGGAAAGCAAAATCTTCAAACATTTTTCAGTTTATATAGTGAGTGAATGTTTGAGTTTGTAAAGAAGAATACAAACACTGCTATTTTTTGAACAGACTAATATTCACTTTTCTTCACTTTTTTTAGAGAAACAACACAAATTTGATATATTTTTCTTCACGTTTTGATTTGGAATAGAATGTGTAGTGTTCCCAATGCATTTGTGTGTATGGAAATAAAAGCTATTAGAAGGATTTTGAGCTTCACTTTTTTCAACACACTGCTATTATTTTGAACACAACTGTACTGCTGATGAGAAAAGGTTTTTAGCAGTTTATATGTACTAAAATAATTTTCCTTTCCATGTTCTGTGTATTGTGGAAGATCGGATATAGTGAACATAGGGTCCTGGGTTTAGTAACACTTTAAAAACCACATGAGCATCTAGATATTTCTTAACCACTCTCTGTGGAATTGAGGAAAATTTCCTTTTCTCTACAGTTCTTAAATTTTGTCCACTATTAGTCATAAGGATGCAAAAAGTCCACTGCATCTTCCTCATTCAGTAAACTAACCAGCACATGTCGGAGGGAGAGAGAGATTTAAACATAAAAAGAATATGGAATGACATGTTCTCATTGGAATGATGACATTTGAATGGTGCACTTTTCATTGAAAACCTTATAGATTTTTTTATGTCCCTTTTTTTTTTTTAATTGGGAAGATTCACATTGAATAGGAATTTGTTCCTTTATTTCAAACAAACAGGTGCTAGGTTTGGTGGTGGTAATCTGCACAGTTAGTTCTCATGGTAAGTTTTTGTAAGTCCTGGTTTTGATACAAATAAACTACTATATATAATTTTCTTATAAAATTGGAGAAGCAGCAGAATACTATTGCACCTACTACCATCCCTTATGTTTATACCATATGCTAATTTGGTAGGAAAGTACCCACCTGAAAGTAAGGCGAGTCTGTCATGGACTGATCATTAATTTGATCTAAAGAAATGTCCCATGTTTTTGTTTTGAAGTATACTGTGTATCAGTTTGCCTGTTCTGTGCATGTTTAAAGTATAACTAAAGGCAAAACTTTTTTTTAGAGTGGAGAGGGATTCGAACGCTTGTCAGTGTTTATTGCTGGCCTGTGTTCCCAGTAAGAAGATTCAACCCTTACTATTTGTCTTGTTTACCATTATCACTGAAAGTGAAAGTAAAAGAAAACCAAATTTTTTTATTGTCCCCAGAAAAGTAATAAAGGGGAAATCTTCCAATGTTCTGGTGGCCTGGGGGTCCACAAGGATTTTTCTTGACCATTTCATGCCCGGACACTTTTACCCTCTTCCTGTCCAGGCCAATTTTCAGCTTTCAGTACTATCACACTTTGAATGACAATTGCGCGGTCATGCAACACCGTACCCGTATGAATTTTTCAGCATTTTTTTGAGACAGATATAACTTATTTTGGTGGTGTTTATTCACCACTGGGATTTTTACTTTTTTTGCTATATAAATGAAAATGTCCAAACATTTTGAAGAAAAGTGTTTTTCTTATAAAATTTTGCAAATAATCTTTCTTCATAAATCTTAGCCAAAATGTATCCAGTTATCTTTTTAGTAAAAAAAAAAAAAAAAACCCCAAATTAGTTGATAACCAAAAATTATAATTTTTCAAAAATTTGTTTTTTTTTTTACTTTTTTTTTTATTTTTCTTATATTATTTTTTTTTAACATACTGTCACCCTAGCAATACAGTGTCACCAGAGTGACCTGTACTACTTGCGGGGGGTGATGATTTTTTTTTTTTACATTGATTGCTTTTACACCCATAAAGGCTGTAAAAGCAATAATTTCTCCTTCTCTCTGGCTGCATTCTTCCAGCCATTGAGAACTACTGTGTGAGCTGTGATTGGTCATAGCTTGTCACATGGTACAAGGCTGTTGTGAATAGCCTTGTACCATGTGATCTCTGTGATCATTCACATATTTCACACGTAATAAGCAATGATGTCTCAAGTGACATCTTGCTTACACGTATTCATGTGATTACTGGTTGGCCAATCAGTGATCACATGATCGGGACCTCACACAGAGGTCCTATTCAGCGATCGGTGTTCCGTTGTGTCCAGAGGACACAGCGGGCATCGGATCGTGGTGCCGCGCACTCCCAGGGAGCGCGCACAGTCCAAAATGGTGGGTGCCGTTTATGAACGGCAATCCACCCCTGCACTGCCACCGTCCGGCCGTTTATATATAAAGTGGTTAATTGGCAGAGATTTCCTTTCACTTTCTATTTGGCTCTGGGACAGGAAGTAAAGAGAAATTTCCCCAATGGACACAGATGGAGAAGAAAAATCTGACGGGTTATAACCCTCCCTTACTCTATCCAAAAGGAGAGAGAAAACTTTTTGCCTGTAGTTCTACTTTTAAATACTTGCATGCTTTTTGCACATACAGTGCATCCAGAAAGTATTCACAGCGCTTAACTTTTGCCACATTTTGTTATGTTACAGCCTTATTCCAAAATGGATTAAATTCAATTTTTTCAACATTCTACAAACAATACCCCATGACAACATGAAAGAAGTTTGTTTTGAAATCTTTGTAATTTATTAAAAATAAAAAGATGAAAAAAAAAACACATGCACATAATTGTTCACAGCCGTTGCCATGACACTCAAAATTGAGCTCTGATGCATCCTGTTCCCACTGATCACTGTGGAACACTGAGATGTTTCCACAGCTTGATAGGAGTCCACCTGTAGGAAAGTCAGCTGATTGGACATGATTAGGAAAGGCATAAACTTGTCTATATAAGGTCCCACAGTTAACAGTGCATATCAGAGCACAAACCAAGCCATGAATTCCAAGGAATTGTCTGTACACCTCCGACACAGGATTGTATCAAGGCACAGATCTGGGGAAGGGTGCAGAAAACTTTCTGCAGCATTGAAGGTCCCAATGAACACAGTGGCCTCCATCATCCGTAAATGGAAGAAATTTTGAACTACCAGGAATCTTCCTAGAGCAGGCCGCCCAGCCAAAATGAGTGATCGAGGGAGAAGGGCCTTAGCCAGGGAGGTAACCAAGCACCTGATGGTCACTCTGAAAGAGCTCTAGTGTTTCTCTGTGGAGAGAGGAGAACCTTCCAGAAGAACAATCATCTCTGCAGCACTACACCAATCAGGCCTGTATGGTAGAGTGGCCAGATGGAAGCCACTCCTCAGTAAAAGGTAATTGGCAGTCTGCCTAGAGTTTGCCAAAAGGCACCTGAGGGATTCTCAGACCATGAGAAACAAAACTCTCTGGTCTTATGAAACACAGATTGAACTCTTTGGCCTGAATGCCAAGCATCATGTCTGGAGGAAACCAGGCACCGCTCACCACCTGGCCAATTCCATCCCTACTGTGAGGCATGGTGGTGGCAACATCATGCTGTGGGGATGTTTTTCAGAGGCAGGAACTGGTAGACTAGTCAGAATCAAAGGAAATATGAATGCAGCAATGTACAAGGGCATCCTTGATGAAAATCTGTTCCAGAGCGCTCTGGAGCTTAGACTGGGGCGATGGTTCATCTTTCAACAGGACAACAACCCTAAGCACACAACCCACATCACAAAGGAGTGGCTATGGGCCAACTCTGTGAATGTGCAGGAGTGGCCCAGCCAGAGCCCAGACTTGAACCAAATTGAAAATATCTGGAGAGATCTGAAAATGGCTGTGCACCGACGCCCCCCATCCAACCTGATGGAGCTTGAGAGGTACTGCATAGAAGAATGGGAGAAATTGCCCAAAAATAGGTGTGCCAAGCTTGTAGCATCATACTCAAAACAACTTGAGGCTGTAATTGGTGCTAAAGGGGCTTCAACAAAGTATTGAGCAAAGGCTGTGAATACTTATGTACATGTATTTTTCTTTTCATTTTTTATTTTTAATAAATTGCAAAGATTTGAAAACAAACTTTTCATGTTGTCATTATGGGGTATTGTTTGTAGAATGTTGAGGGGAAAAAAAGAATTTAATCTATTTTGGAATAAGACTGTAACATAACAAAATGTGTCAAAAGATGAGCTCTGAATACTTTCTGGATGCACTGTATATTTTCATACTCATTACTGTTTTTTTTTTTTTTTTTCCTTTTATATTGTACTCCAGTACAAATTGGTAGCTACTAATTTCCAGGTTTTTTTTTTTTTGGTTTCTCGATTGTATAAGCAAGATTAGATTGTCCTAAGGCATGGCGATATTTAAGTTTAATTTTGTATTTTCATCCTAGGTGCAGTAACTTAAGGGTCTTACAATTAGCTTATAGTAGTGTTATGCGCAGTGGTGTGTTTATTAACACGTTGAATTAGTACGTTTATCAAATCTTCTTTGCAAAGTAAAGATTTAGGCCTCATTCACACGGGAGTGTTTTCGTGTACAGTACATCCATGTGAGGGCTGTGTTTGCCAGTGCAAAAATGTGTGGCTGCAGGTGTCTAATTGGGAGCAGTAGATGTGTTCCAGCAGCTTATGTGCCCCAGTTGAAATGAATGGGATGCTGGGAACATGGCCTTTACACAGTAGTGCACTATGGTACGCCCGTGTGAACAAGTCATTAACGGTTATCAACAGCTGTTCTATATAAAAATATGTATCTGTGGTTGAGTAGAATAATGTGGTCACTTTGTTGTACGCAAGTTGTAATGTGATAGAACATATATGACTGAAGTAATTCACATATTCTGTAGGATATAAAACTTCATTATGGTTAAAATAATTTAGGTTTATTTGAATGTGTAAGTGTTAGGGGGAGGTGTGTTTTTTTTTAATTTCCGTTTTTTTTAATTTATTTTTTGCCAATCATTTACATAAACACACTAGGAGCAGTTTGGTCAGAGGCCTGTAAGCCTGATTGCAGGTTTTTTGGATGATGAGAAATTTAGAAACCTGTCGGTGTTTTATATACAGTATGTTCTTCAGCTTCTTGGTTTTGCAACATTTTACTTTGTTACAGAACCTAATAAGATACAGGACTATTTTGTTTTGAACAGCTACATAAGAGCTGTTGTCGACACCACATCTACATGCTGAGTGATATTGCTGAGCCATTCCTTTTTCCTTTTGGCCCATATGAATCTGATTTTTATCGGCTTAATTTTATAGATTGGAGAGAAGTGAAGCCAACACCATCTGTAAAACCAATTTAGCCAAGCGATTATTGATACCTCTCTACGAATACCAAAATTACATATGCCCCATGCTTTGAATTAGATGAACATGATTTTCTTAGAGAGCTATGAGTTAGATTTAAAAATGAGCCAGGGGCCAAGAGCCATAGCACGTAGTGGAGTGTAAGGTCTTCCAAAACGGATGTACTCCCATTACAAAGGTTAAGAGTGGCTGGCAAACTTTGATATGGTTTGGTTTGCTGCTGTGGTGCTGCTATTCTACTAAATGGACAATTTCTCATTTTTAGTTTTCTGCACTGCACAAGGGATTGTTGCTTGAGAAGTTGTATAACTCCATTCACTTTCTACGCCTTTTTTTTTTTTTTCAGGACATGACCGATAACAGCAACCATCACATGGTGGTTCGAGCAAAGTTTAATTTTCAGCAGACCAATGAAGATGAGCTGTCATTCTGTAAGGGAGACATAATTCATGTTACACGGCTGGAAGATGGCGGCTGGTGGGAGGGAACACAAAGTGGTAAAACAGGATGGTTCCCGAGCAACTATGTCCGAGAAATCAAGTCCTCTGGTAGGTTGACTCTGTATTTTTGATTGCAGGCGAGGTCACCTTTTATAGGTGATCACATGTTTAATAAAGTGTGACATTAGGAGGTTTGTGAATAATTGAAAATAAATGTAACAATTTTAAAGACATTTTTTTTTTACCTCTGTAAATAAGAATTTGAAGGATAAAGTGCATGATCACGCACTTGAGATGTATAGGTTCAAGCTCATTCTTCTCTAAAGCATCTCTGTGATACAGTTGTTCTATCATAGAACAGTTGGAATAGAATTCTGATGCTTTGTCTGTAATATTTTTGTTTTTGTAGGTTTCCCTAAAATTAGCCTTTGCCTGATAATTTAGCATTTGACGGAATCGTGTACAGTGAAGGAAATAAGTATTTGATCCCCTGCTGACTTTGAATGTTTGCCCACTCACAGAGAAATGATCAGTCTAAAAATCGAATGGTAGGTGTATTGTAACACTGAGAGACAGAATAGTAACAAAAAATTCAAAAGAAATGCATGTCTAACAAACGAAGCACTGATTTGCATGTTCATGAGGGAAATAAGTATTTAATCCCCTTCACAAAACATGACTTAGCACTTGTTGGTAAATACTTTGTTGGCAATCACAGAGGTCAGACTTTTCCTGTAGTTGGCCACCAGGTTTGCACACATCTCAGGAGGCATTTTGGCCCACTCCTCTTGGCAGATCCTCTCCAAGTCATTAACGTTTTGTGGCTGATGTTTGGACAACTCGAACTTCCAGCTCTCTCCACAGATTTTCAATCAGATTAAGGTCTGGAGACTGGCTAGGCCACTCCACGACCTTAATGTGCTTCTTCTTGAGCCACTCCTTTGTTGCCTTGGCTGTGTGTTTTGGGTCATTGTCTTGTTGGAACACCCATCTATAACCCATTTTCAGTGCCCTGGCTGAGGGAAGAAGGTTCTCACTCAAGATTTGATGGTACATTGCCCTGTCCATCGTCCCTTTGATGCGGTTCAGTTGTCCTGTCCCCTTAGCAGAAAGATACCCCCAAAGCAGAATGTTTCCACCACCATATTTGACAGTTGAGATGGTGTTCTTGGGGTCATAGGCAGCATTCCTCCTCCTCCAAACAGTTGAGTTGATGCCAAAGAGCTCGATTTTGGTCTCATCTGACCACAACACTTTCAACCAGTCTTCCTCTGCATCATTCAGATGTTCAGTGGCAAACTTCAGACGGGCCTGGACATGTGCTTTCTTGAGCAGAGGGACCTTGCGGGCACCGCTGGATTTCTATCCTTGTCGGCGTAGTGTGTTACCAACTGTTTTTTCTTGGTGACTGTGGTCCCAGCTGCCTAGAGATCATTGACAAGATCCTCACGTGTAGTTCTGGGATGATTCCTCACTGTTCTCATGATCATTGACACTTCGCGAGGTGAGATCTTGCATGGTGCACCAGACCTAGAGAGACTGACAGTTTGTTTTGTGTTTCTTCCATTTGCGAATGATTGCACCAGAATGTTGTCACCTTCTCACCAAGCTGCTTAGCGGTAGTTTGGTAGCCCAGTCCAGCCTTGTGTAGGTCTACAATCTTGTCCCTGACATCCTTGGACAGCTCTTTGGTCTTTGCCATGGTGGAGTGTTTGGAATCTGATTGTTTGATTGCTCCTGTGGACAGGTGTCTTTTATACAGGTAACAAAATGAGATTAGCAGCACTCCCTTTAAGAGACTGCTTCTAATCTAAGCTTGTTACCTGTATGAAAGACACCTGGTAGCCAAAATACCTTCTGAAGGATAGGTGATCAAATACTTATTTCCCTCATGAACATGCAAATCCGTGCATAATTTGTTAGACATACATTTCTTTTGAATTTGTTGTTGCTATTCTGTCTCTCAGTGTTACAATACACCTACCATTCGATTTTTAGATTGATAATTTCTTTGTGAGTGGGCAAACATTCAAATCAGCAGGGGGTAAAATACTTATTTCTATCACTGTATATCTGAGAACCGAGGTCTTTTATTTGGGGTCTGTTTTGCCAGTTAATAGGGTCTTTGAAATCTTTGTAGCATGGCCATATTGATTATTGTAAATGCACATATAAGTATGAAAGAAACCCATAATGATTAACAGCTTTACTGTATTTTTACAGGTTGTGAATGACAGTGGTCATGACAATATTTTAGTGTTTTTTTTTTTTAAATATGTAAAACAATATTTTAAAATGTAATGGAAAAATGAATTCTGAACACTTTCCTCTTACCAAGATGAGGTGAAGATATTTTAAGCAAGTAACTGGTTAACAGAGCTTTTCATTTAATGCTGTTGGAACCTTTGTCTTCCCAGATGTTCGACATGTTGATCTTTTTTTTTTTTTTGTTTTTGTTTTTTTGTTTTACACATTCCAGTAACATTCATGTGTTACATCTTAGCAGGGGTAGTTTAGATATTTAAATACTAAATCTGATTTCCAGCTTTGTCACTTAAATAGTCTTTTCCTGCCTCCCGTGGTGTCTGTGCTGTATTCAGGTGATTTTATGATGTAATAAAGTTGGATGTTGGAGTGCAGCCATCTGGATCTTTTTAGATTTCTTAGGTTGGTGGTATGTGTCAAGCAACATCCACAAGAATGGTAGGACCCAAGGTTTCTCAGCCGAACATAGTCCAAAGCATCACAATGCCTTCGCTGGCTTGCCTTCTTCCCATACTGAATCCTGGTGCTATCTCTTCCCCAGGAAAACAATGCACACACGCTCAGCCATCCACATGATCTAAAACTTGATTCATCACACCAGGCTACCTCCTTCCATTGCTCTGTGGTCCAGTTCTGATGTTCATGTGCCCATTGTAGTCATGTTTGGCTGTGGACATATGTCAGCATGGGCACCCTGACCAGTCTGCGGCTATGCAGCCTCATACACAACAAACTGCGATTTCTTTGTTTTCTTTCAACACATCGCGTTCAAAGACAATATGTTTACTTGCTACCCAATATATCCCAACCTCTTTCAGATGCCATTATAAAGAGATAATCAGTGTCTTACACTGAATCTATTAGTGGTCATAAAGTTATGGCTGATTAGTGTATCTCCTTCACTAACAGGTGCACCTGCTGGACATGCAGCTAAAACTATATGTTGCGCCGGCTACATACAGCATGAACACAAGGCTTTATACTATGGGACGCAAACATCCTGTTCCACACCTGGAAAAAAATTTAGTCTGGTTAAGTGCCACTCAGACATTTATAGGCAGCTTTGAATGAATTCAAAGCTTTCTCTCATTGGCTGAGGCAAAGATCATGACATCAACTGCCTGTCTCTCTGCCTCAGCCAATAAGAGGAAACTTTGTATTTTCTGAATACAAATTGTATCATTAATTTTAACTCCAATGCTGCATGAAAATCTCTACCTGTATTTTATTGGGCTTTAAGGTATCAGTAGATATGAGTAAACCAGTCCCTATTTTAACTGTTTTGGGCCATAAGGCTCAGGCAGATGGGGATGCAGATTATAAACCCTTATTCAATTGTCTTTTCTCCCAAGAGCATTCTTGGAATCATATGTGTGTGTGTGTATATACAGTTAGGTCCATATATATTTGGACACAGGCACAATTTTTTATACTTTTGGCTCTTTATGCCACCAGAATAAATTAAAACAAAACAATGCAAATGAATTTGAAGTGCAGACTTTCAGCTTTAATTCCAGGGGTTGAATTTAGATATCAAGTACAAATTTTAGTAACTGCAACCATTTGTATACACAGTCCCTCCATTTTCAGGGGCTCAAATGTAATTGGACAATTGAATATAATCATAAAATGTTCGTTTTTAATATTTTCTTGAGAATCCTTTACTGGCAATGACTGCCTGAAGTCTGGAACCCATGGACCTTCCTCCTTTCTGATGCTCTGCCAGGCTCTAACTGCAGCTGTCTTCAGTTTCTTTTTGTTTGTGGGTCTTTCTGCCTTTAGTTTTGCCTTCAGCAAGTGAAATGCATGCTCAATTGTGTTGAGATCAGGTGATTGACTTGGCCATTGCAGAGTATTCCACTTCTTTTCCTTCTAAAGCTCCTGGGTTGCTTCTGCAGTGTGTTTTGGATCATTGTCCATCTGTACTGTGACGTGCCGTCCAATCAACTTTGCTGCATTTGTCTGAATCTGGGCTGACAGTATATCTCTAAACACTGCAGAATTCATCCGGCTGCTTCTGTCTTCTGTCACATCAATAAACACCAATGACCCAGTGCCATTGAAAGCCATGCATGCCCATGACATCACACTTCCTCCACCATGTTTTACAGATGACGTTGTGTGCTTTGGATCATGAGCTGTTCCAAGCCTTCTGCACATTTTTTTCTTCCCATCAGTCTGGTACCGATTAATCTTTCATCTGTCAAAAGAATGCTTTTCCAGAACTTTTCTGGATTTTTTAGATGTTTTTTGGCAAAGTCTAATCTGGCTTTTCTGTTCTTCAGGCTTATGAATGGTTTGCACCTTGCGGTGAACCCTCTGTATTTGCTCTCATGAAGTCTTCTCTTGATTGAAGACTTTGACAATGATACACCCACCTCCTGGAGAGTGTCCTTCACTTTTCTGGATGTTGTGAATGGGTTTTTCTTTGCCATTAAGAGGATCCTGCGATCATCCACCTCTGTTGTCTTCTGTGGACGTACATGCCTTTTTATGATGCTGAGCTCACCAATGTGTTGTTCTTTCCTCAGAATGTACCAAACTGTTGATTTGGCCACTCCTAATATTGCTGCTATCTCTCTGATGGATTTTTCATTTTTGAAGCGTTACAATGGCCTGTTTCACTTGCATGGACAGCTCCTTTGAACGCATGATGTAGGTTCACCGCAATAGATTCTAAATGCAAATAGCACATTTAGAATCAACTCCAGACCTTTTAGCTGCTTAATTGATGAAGAAATAACGAAGGAGTAGCCCACACCTGGCCATGAAACCGCTTTTGTTTCAATTGTACAAATACTTTTAGCCCCTTGAAAAAGGGGGGAAGGCTACTTTTAAGAGCT